GTACCCTAAATAATAGGATCCTTTTAATATAGTACCCTAAATAATAGGATGCTTATTATAAGGACCCCAAAATAAGGTACCCAAGTTTTCGGAAAGTCCCATCTCTCCTGGTTCATGCAGGCTATGCAGGGCTTTGAAGGACACCGTCGGACTGTACCGAGCGTTACAAAGGCTTTACAGCAGTTCGAGGGACGGTGGCCGAGTTTTCGAGTTTCGAGCTGGTCGGTTGGATTCCGCTAGTTTCATATCTTCTTTTATGTGCTATGTGCTGAGTGATCTGTTGTGCTACTTAAAGCCCCTTTTGCTACATGATCTGTTTGAGCTGGCTTTTGTGTGTGTGTGTGCGGATTTTGGGGAATGCGAAATGCGGCTTTGTACCTCTGAACGAGTCCGAACCCTAAAGCCTAAACCCTAAAGCCTAAACCCTAAACCCTGAACCCTAAACCCTAAACCCTGAACCTAAACCCGAAACCCTAAACCCTGAACCCTTTTCCAGAGGCCGAAAAATCTGAAACCCGGAGAGGCCGGTCCCAAGGCTCCTGTAGCGGTTGGGCCCCAGTGTCGTTTTCGAACGAGCTTCGAGTGGCTTCGGCTTGAGTTTTTGGCTTTTTGGTCAAACCTTTTTATGATTTGTCCGTGTTGCATGCCGGATTTGACGTCATGGATTTAATTTTACCATGCACTCATTTTCACGTGAACATGTGACTGACATGTTGACATACCGAAGGCGTTCTTTCAGAGTGAGAGCAAACTTACATGGTCGCGGAACACTGGGAAAGCCCAGTGCCCTAAACAAGCCAGTTGCGAGTTGGGTTTCTTGCTTGGCGCCTGTCGTTCCGGGTCCTCGGGCGAAACTAGTAGGCGCGGCGGGAAGCTGGGCCCAGCCATAGTGCACCACGGCAACTGCCGAGAGCCTTACTCTGTTACAGCAGAGATCCGCATCGCAGCAGCTCAGCAGACCTCTCCTTCATCCTCATGTTAAACATGTTCGACAGCCTGACAGAGCAGGGCACGGAGAGCCACCGGTCCGAGGGGGAGAAGCGTGAGTGGTACCGCCAGATTCTACCGCCGGCGTCCGGACGCCGAGTGGGGCCAGGATCCGGCGCTGCCGGGGAACTCTCGCCGAAGTGGGACCCCGTCGCCAACAGCAGCAGCATTCAGGCTATGTGCAGCTTTTGCCTTTGGGGTTGAGGGCCGCAGTAGGTGGGCCTGAACAGTGGGTGATATTTCTCCCTCATCGGCCCTGTAGATTCAAACGGAAAAACCCGCAGAACCTTGCTTTTGTTAAGATTCCCCCCATATTACACTTGATAGGCCTTCTAAAGCCTTCGTGAGAATCCGTAGTACATGGTCAAATTTTCGGAGCCCCTACATTAAGCCCTATAGTAGAACTGCTGTGCTTCAAAGTTCAGCGCTCTGCGCTTTGAGGTTACGGGTCCCCCTGAACAACGAATTCACCGTCTCTAACCTAAGCTCAAAGCCATAACACTAAAGCCCTTGAGCCCTTAAGCCCTAAACCCCGAACCCCTGCACTCTCAAACCCTAAAGCCCTAAACGCTAACCCCTAAACCCTGAACCCCAAACCCTAAAACCCGAAAGCCCTATAAGGCCCTAGTGTCTTTACATCTCGAAAGAAGCTCTAGCCTCAAGGCAGAAGCTCGTGGACGGGGAGTTCAAGCTGGTCACACAGCCTTTGGGCCAGGTTTCGGGTTTCGGGTTTAGCCAGGTTCAGGTCACCCTAAGCCCTAAACCCTAAACCCTAAACCCTAAGCCCTAAGCCCTACACCCTAAGCCCTAAACCCTAAACCCCAAGGATCGTGTTATTGTTTTTTGGTTGAGGGTTTCAGGTTTTAGCGGGCAGGTCAAGAACTGCGTTCATGTTTTGAGGGTAAGGGTTTTAGGTTTTAGGGTTTAGGGCATTGCGTTTTAGGCTGTAGGGCTTCAGGGTTTAAGGCTTAGTTCTAATTAGTAAGGCCCCTAAACCCTAAACCCTTATAGTAGCCCTTATAGTATCCCTTCAAGGAACCCTTAAAAGGAACCCCAAAACCCTATTCTACTTGTTAAGGCCCCTACATTACACCTTAAGTTTTAAAACCCTCCACATCTTAAGCCCGCAAGAGAGGAGACCTGATATCAGGAAGTTCCGAACCCAAAAGGCAATAGAGGGGCCTTAAGAATTTGAATACGGTCGCGGGGTTTGTTTGAAGGGTTCCTTTAAGGGATACTATAAGGGCTACTATATGGGCTTAGGGTAGAGGGGCCTTGATAGGTAGAATAGGGTTTGGGGGTATGTTCTATTGTAATTATAATCATTAAGGAGCCCCCCCATAAACCCTAAGGCCCTAAAGCCCTGTACCCTAAACCCTAAACCCTAAACCCCCCAAAAAAAAACAA